GTGTGTGTGTGTGTGTGTGTGTGTGTACACGGAGCAGAGCAGGTGAACTACTCCAGTTGAAGTTACGTTACAGAACGCTGAAATAAAACTGTGGTGTTTTGTCAGTGACAGAAACCAGCGGTGAGAAAACTATAAATCGCTCTGACGTTAGAAGACGCAGACACAGTGGATATTTTACAAGCACCAATCAGGTAAATCAATACTGAACGCACCTTTTAGGGAGGGATGAGCGGCTCAGCTGTAAAGTAAAAGGGTGCGCTGGATTTATAAAATAAAACGAGTGTCGTTGTGAAACAGCACCCGGCGCTGTTATCGTTTATCTTACTTAACTTGTTTTTATAATTGGTGGAAGCAGCTTCACGCTACAGCTGCAGCAGCAGTCTCTCTACACTGTTTCGACCTGACCTTTCTTTTCCCCGTGAGGTGGAGGAATTTAGAAAATTGCGTGGCGCTGCGTCAGGCCCCCAGCTGTTGTGCATGGATGAGCCTTTGCGTAACATTCCTCCAGCCAGAGGGAACGATCATGAACCGTTCACAGCGTGCTGGTATTAGACCTACTACACAACCCATTGTAGGTACCGGAGAGGGAGTGGGTCGCTGGGGCGTACAGGGCCAGAGACAGGAGACCGCAGAGCGGCCGCTCCAGTCTGATTGAGCACCGCGCTATGTTGATGCGCTGCGCAGTTTTTTTATATCATCATTTATATTCGGGCATGGGGAGTGTCAAGTCAGCTCGAGTCAAAAGGCTCAAGTCCAGGTGAGGTCACGAGTCATTGCTGTTCAAGTCAAAGTCGAGTCGCAAGTCTTCTTTGATTTTGTCAAGTCCAGTCTAAAGTCATCATTTTTGTGACTCGAGTCTGACTCGAGTCCAAGTCATGTGACTCGAGTCCACACCTCTGGTCCTTTCAGAAATTCATAGTGTGTCATGAAGCAAACATCAGACCAAAAACTAGACAACTGCTTTACCAATACAAACCAATTTTAGAGAGATTGGACTTATTTTTGTCAAGTTACACAGGTAAATATTTCGTGGCATTAAAAGTAAAATTCTGTATCATACTTATTTTTTGATTACTGAGCTGTGTGTAAGTCACTCAATCCAATCACGTATTACCTTAATACCTGTTTTTTGCCTAAAACATAGTACAGTTTTGAAACACCTGACCAACTACTAGCAACTATTAATCAGGCTGAAAGGCAAACTCACCAGAGCGGGGTCATTGGTAACACTGTGTTACATACTGTCAATATTATATATATTTTGATGTGTGGATATAATCCATCTATCCATTGGTTCATCCATTTGAATATAAATCCATGATAGACCATGAGTTAGATGGAAAGTCACCTCTCTTCACCTATATGATATCAATCCATCTATTTATCGACTCACAATAGATGGTTGGTTGAGGGTTAGATGGATGTGTGGATATCTGTCTGTCATATATATTTCCATAAATAGTTCACCTATAGTATATAGATATAATTAAATCAGATAGAGTTTTATTAAATGGACAGACGTTTGTAGCAAGTGTTACAACTAACCCCTTGTTTGTTCCAACTAACCCCCCCTTTGAGTAAGTTGGAACATTTCACTCTCGACATTCAGCTCAATTGTACAAAACTGTAGCTCCTAGAATCAAACGTAACACAAAAGTGTTTATTCGTAGTAGAGATGTGTGTGTTGCTTGTATAAAATATGATTAATGAAGCTCACATATTTTTTGAATTATTTAGTCAAAACCAAAATGTGTTAGGTTGTGCCCCGCTCTCCTCTTTATTACATTATATTTGGATATTTTCAATTGTCACCTTAATTTTGTTTCCCTTCAAATAAATAAAGACATTTCCTCCATAAATTGGTGCAGAAAATGTGTTCAGACTGCAGAAATATAAAAAAATAAGTGGTTAATGTGCAAAGTCATTATTGTTATAATATTTAGTAGTTTCATCTTGTGGTGGATGATAGTGTGGAGGAGGGGGCAGGAGTACTGCCATCACAAAGAGGTGCAGGTTTGAAAGAGACTTTTCCCTCCCTGTGTTTCTCTGTAGTCTTTGTTTTATTATCAGTGTTTCATTTTAAACATTAAAAAACTGATTTAACTTTAGTGGCACAAACTGAATAATTATGTAAAGAAGCTGAAAACACTAAAACTCTGTCAACACGTGATGAATTATATGTATATATATATATAGATATACATACACACAAACGTGTTACTGCATTATTGTTTAAAAGATGAATGTATTAATATTACTCACTCCGTTGCCATGGTGACGGCTGGTAGAGAGGGCTGCAGACAGTGAGGCTGAAACAGGTGTTGGTGTCTGGATGAAAAAACAAAAAGATAACTGTAACTATGTTTTCATTCATCTGTAAATGATTCTAGAAAATAACGTCAGACTGGTAACAAGAGCTCAGATGTTAAAGGAGAACTTTCATCAGTTACTAAAGATTAGGGCTGAACGATTAATCGCAAAGGCTGCATTACACTCTGGTCACATGACACCCATGAGGAAAGCAGTCTGCAGACAAAGTCCGCACATTAGCTGTCCCCTGCCTTCTTGTTGTACAACGGCCTTAAGCTTGACAGAAGCTGAAACCACATAAACTTTAGTGTCACACGGGGAATAAAAGCAGCACTCGCCAGCCGGGTAACTTGGTGGTGGCTGAAATTGACAGGAAAAATGCACAACAGAAAGACGCGTGCAGTGAGGTAAGCGTCACACACACAGACAGCAGTCAGCTCAGGGAATATATAATATATATGAAACTAAACGCGTAAGTCTGAAAGAGGCCCGGTCTGGTTACAGCCAGTGCTGCTCACCAGCATCGGAGGCTGCGGGGAACTCGCAGGGGAGAATTACTAAGCTTGTCTAGTAAACACGAGAGGCGTCACTTATTTTCGTTGGCCAACTTTTGAATTAAACCTGAAACTGAGCATTTTTGCTTACTTACTAGGATACAGAAAGATGGACTCCTGGGAGATTAGAACTGAGACAAGGACTCATTAAAGCCCCCTCCAGTGTGTTTTGACATTTCTATGATATTTCATATGTTTCTGAGTCATTTCCTTACAATGTTGATTACCCACATAGTTTGGCAAATATTTTTTGACAAATAGCTTAATTTTGTGCTCAAAGTTGCTTAGTTGTTAAAACAGGGTGGTGACGTATGACTATAGTTATTCCATAAGTCATACGTCATTCTCCAAGCTTGCGCAGGCGCACTGTCACGCCTCGTTGAAAAACCAATTTATCATCATTTAATTAGAACAATTGAACTAGTGTGACTCTGTGTCTGATTGCTGGTTTGTCTTTCTAGTTTAGTTAGCTAAGTTAACTAAGTTGTAGTTAGCCAGGTGTGGTTAGCTAGCATAGTTATTGCACAAAGTTAGCTAACAGAGGGTCTTCATTTTGTTTTTTAGTTTCCTCCTCTGGGTTTAGTGTGCTGTTCATTTTCATTATGGCATCTGTGCGTGTGGTGTTGGAGGACAGACACAGTCTGCAACACGCATTTTACTGACGGGCGAAGGCTGTAGGCCGAACTGATGATATTATATCATATTATTTAATGCCATGACTTGACTCAAATTATCTTTCATGTTATTATAATTTGATATATCTTCTCCACCATTGCTCATAACAATAATTCTACCTAATTCATCATAACACAAGAAACAACAGTGTAGTTCTATCTATCTAATATTGTGTTGGTCAGACTATACACTGATTTACTGCTTGTCCATTTTGAATAATAGAGAAGGTAAAGAGCTAAAAAATGAATTGCAATATTGGTTAAAAAAAAACGCTATTAGATTATTTTCCAAAATCGTTCAGCCCTACTGAAGATCACAGTTCACATGTGAAGCTAACAGTCTTTCATAGTGTTGGTGAAGCTGCTGCTTCCACAACTGAACTCTATTTCTGCAGCATTAATACATTTTTTATATATTACTTTTATGCCCTGCGATGGACTGGCGACCTGTCCAGGGTGTACCCCGCCTTGCGCCCGATGTCAGCTGGGATTGGCTCCAGCCCCCCGCGACCCTGAACGCAGGATAGGCGGTTGACGATGGATGGATGGATGGATATTACTTTTATATTACATACTGCTGGGTGGCTTGTGAATTCCCCCCAGGGGACGACTGGAGCGTTGTTGATATAATAATATGAGAATTTATTTATTGATTATATTTTGTATCATTAATCTGAATCTACAAGTAACTAGTAAGACATCAGACACATGTAGTGGAGTAAAGTGTGCAATAGTTGCCTCTAGTGTCGTGGAGTAGAACTATGAAGTAGCAGAAAATAGAAATGCCTCAAATTTGTTCTTAAGCACAGTAGTTTAGTTTAATTTAGTTACTTTTCACTTCTGGTAACTGAGTTGTGATTGAGAAATGTCACGAACGTAGCTAATGCTAATTAGTTTAGGTAACATTACACATCAGGAAAGGGGCTTTAAACAGCCCACAACATTATTTATGTTACGTTACTGCCACTTTATTTGAATGTCAAGGACAACCGTTCTCATGTATTCACTATATTAATGTTCACAACAAAAATAAAGGCTTACCTCAGGTTTTGATAGATACAAATGTAATACTTCAGGATTTATGAATCCAGTAAGGCTGCTGCTAACCTGGATCTCATAGCAAAGACAGTCATTCTGCCTTCACTCACTCAGTAGCCATTTTTAAAAACAGATCTTTTTCCTGTTCAAGTCATGTTCACTTTCCACCTTTAGGTCTCCACTGCCCTACATCGACATGATTCATGTGAATGAACTGGACTGTAAAAACTGATTGTTGGCAAAAGCCGACCAGTTTGTAGGTCATCAAGTCATTTGGAGTGTGTCTGTGTAAATGTACCTTATTAGAATATAAGGATAACATTCAATTTGTGCAGTGCCATGGTTAGGTCACATGGTTAGGTGGTCACCTAAGAGGCATCTGAGTCCTTTGCACACACGGCATACTTTATGTTAGGAGGTCATGTTGTCATAAACATTTATTCAAGTTCGGGCAACTGAGGCGAGTTTATTATTATTATTATTACTCTATTATCAAAGTGATGACTGATGAGAAACTGTTTCCACATCAGCATAAACTGGATGACAAACCGTTTGAGCCTGCATGAACTATTAAGTCTCTATGGTAGGAGAGCGAGTGTGTAAGGGCGGGGCTTATACTCCCCCTCCCCTGTCTACTTCATACACTGAATACAGAATTCTGTCTACTTACGCACTGCCTGTTACATCCACTACAGTCAGCATGTTCTGTACATCCAGCACAACAATCTTCACTGTCATTTAATTTCAGTGTTCTTGCACAAGAATGAATGAAACACACAGGCATCTATAAATATCAGTTTGCATGTAAAGTGAATCTTTTTTCCATTTTAAGCTTTATTGGTGAGTATAACGTCCTGATCTTGACATTAGAAGATGTTCCATCTTTTCTCTCAGTGTTCTTACCTGCGTTGTTGGCTTCAGGAAGCTCTGTGACTCTGAGGAGGCAGGAAGTGTTTTTATCCTCTCTGTGAAGTCACGTGATTTCACAGAAACTCTCTCCCCTCCCTCTGATCACAATCTCATCATTATTTGTTTCTTTTCTCCCTCCTGACAGACACCAGCAGATTAAAAAAAAAACATTTTACAGTTGAAATGTCCTCTGCTGGATTGTGGAAGCTGAATCTATCTGCAGCCGCAGCCTCAGCCACCTTCATTCACTTCCTGTTGATGTTGCTGCACAGCTTGTCATGGTTTTGGTTTTGTGCTCTCTGTTCTTCCTGTTTGAGTCTTTGGTCTGTCATGATGTGTTTCGTTCTCATTTTGCCATTTCCCCATGTTTACTAGTTGTTGATTCACTCCGTGCCCCTGTGTTCCCGGCTGCATCTAAAGCATGCGTTCTGTGTTCTCTGTTATGTTCTGTTACACTTGTCCTGGTTTGTTGCTTTACTTCCTGTGTTATTTTGGAGTGTTCTGTTTCATGTCTCTCTGTCTAGCTTCTTTCCTGTTTGTTCGGATTAGCTCCTCATGTCTTTCCTCGTCATGTTGAGTGTTCTGTCCTGTTTCTGTGAAACTGTATCTGCATCTGGGCCCGACCCTGAGCTTTCCTTCCTCTTCGCTCAGCCTCTGGTCTTACAGCAGAGTAGTGTGCTTTGTTGGAGAGAATTGAATATAAAGACATCAGGTTCATGTGAGTAGTAACTAAAAG